TTATGTAAATTGGGCTTAGGCAGGAGCGTTGTTTGTTTTACCTGAGGTTCTCACTCCGGTCCTCGGACCTTCCTTCGTTCTATTTTCGCGGGCTTTCCCTTCCAGGTCTTTTAGCCACCGCCATTTTGGACTCTTTTCCCCTATTCTAACTACCTAACAACACCAATCAAGTAAAACTAGCAAAACTGGGTCACTTCACAAAAAAGGTGGCAGAAGATCAGCCACGGAGGAATCTGGGGACCCCCAGAGGAGAAGTCTTTAAATTTCCTCTGCAGGAACAAGAAGGTTCTACCGCTCTTCAGTTCTGCTCGGATTTTTATCCTGTAAACCCATATATTTACTATTTAAGACCTGGACATCCTGAAAAGCTTTCAAGAAGTGATAACCCCTTTTCTAAAAAGAAGAGAGAATGACTCAGAGTCTAAATCAAAAAGGGGAATGTAGTAGAATGAAAAGGACTCTGAGCTAAAGAATCTCAATTTGATTTTCTTCAGTGTTTTTAGAGTTTCAAATACGACAGCAGAAAACTAAAATGTCAGAGTTTTAAATGGCTCCTATTTCCTGAAATCACTAGAAATAACCAGAAGTTTTTTTAAATATATATATAAGCCAGGGCTTGCTTTATCTTTCTGTACATGAGAAAATCATTTAGAGGAAGAATGAATCTACATAAATAACACTGAAAGTTATCCTTGTAAGTGTTCACAGACTGTAAAAGAAAACTCAAGCAAGGACAACAGGAACAAACTGCATGGCAATGTGGAAAGTTCAGGTCCAAGCGGCACATGAGGAATCAACAAATTACCAGTAGTAATCTTTTTTTTTTTTTTTTTTTTTTAAGTCCACACTACATGGGTTGTGGGAGTTTTAGTTCGATGACCAGGGATTGAACCCAGGGCCTCAGAAGTGAGACCACTTCTGAGAGTTATTTATAACAGCTGAACCGCCAGGGAATTCACAACAAACTACCCCTCAGTAAGATCCTTGATCAAAGAAAAGGTTCCGCCTTGAATGATTAACCTGTTCTATGATATCCGTTACTGGGCAGGTGCAGATTTCATCTAATCAAAAAACAAACAACACACACACACACACACACACACACACACACACACACACACAACCAGTGGCTTGAGAACTGAGGGGTGATGCTGAGTCCTGACTTAAGCTAAGCTTTGTGATTTGGGGACTTCACAACACCAGTCTTGGCCTCCATGTTCACATCTGTAAGGTGATCTACAGCATGATTTAGTCTTTGCCAGTTCCATTTCATTCATTCATTCATTCATTCATTCAACCAACAAATATCTGTAGAGCCACAGTGGTCGAGTCCTGTTCTAGGTGCTAAGGGAAAAGCAGTGAATGAAAGACCGACATCCCTAATGGAGCTTGTAGTCCAGATTCTGAAATCAGTGTTTTTCAAACTATAGGCTGTGAAATCCTTTTAGCAGTACCAAATGAGCATCTTTTAAAGAAGAAACAGGAATAATATAAAATATCAGAGTATATCACACATAGTAAGGGTAAGTTCTATTTCAGAGAATCCTGCTTTAGCTATTGACATTTTATATCTATGAGGGTTGCGGATCAAGAAATATAAGGCATTTCTGAACGTGGGCTGGTTGTACCAAGAGAGTTTTAACATCTCTGATAAAAGAATTCTTTTTGTTCCAGCCACTGGCCCTCATCCTGTCCTTCACTCAGATTGCTTGAGGAACATTCTGTCCAGAGATTAAAACTCTTTACCTTTTCATTTGCCCCATGATGGCATTTTGTATAAATAGCAAAGACTATGCTTTTCAGATCAGTGTCCCCAGCCTTTTCTGAGCATGATTCCTTTTAATATCAGTTCTTTTTGTGCACTACTTGTCTGCTGATTGGGAAAACTCAGAGTGGCCAATAGCCACGTAAGCTTTTAAATGGAGGGCATGGAAACCCACTCCAGTATTCTTGCCTGGAGAAACTCCATGAACAGAGGAACCTGGTGGGCTACAGTCCATGGAGTCGCAAAGAGTTGGACATGACTGAGTGACCAAGCACACACAGCACATAATGTATGTGTCCATCCTAAGAGCTCCTATCTAAAAACACAAAAGTTGCAAACACACAGAAGGCAGTATTCATTCCATATGTGCCTCCTACTTGATATTCAAAGAGATCTGCAGGCTTCCTGTGCCCCGAGGAGTCACAAGCACAAAGACTGGAGATTCCTGTTGTAGATCCCAGCTTCGATTTGCTTATTTTAGAATCACCATGTTCTTACCAGGTGACTGCTTATGGCGGTTTCTGTTTGGTTTAATGTTCTCCCCACCCCAATCCTTTTTAAAAATTAACACAAACCAATAAAGGCTATGGTTTTTCCAGTGGTCATGTATGGATGTGAGAGTTGGACTGTGAAGAAAGCTGAGTGCTGAAGAACTGATGCTTTTGAACTGCGGTGTTGGAGAAGACTCTTGAGAGTCCCCTGGGCTGTAAGGAGATCCAACCAGTCCATCCTAAAGGAGATCAGTCCTGGGTGTTCATTGGAAGGACTGATGCTGAAGCTGAAACTCCAGTACTTTGGCCACCTCATACGAAGAGTTGACTCATTGGAAAAGACCCTGATGCTGGGAGGGATTGGGGGCAGGAGGAGAAGGGGACGACAGAGGATGAGATAGCTGGATGGCATCACCGACTCAATGGACATGAGTTTGAGTAAACTCCGGGAGTTGGTGATAGACAGGGAGGCCTGGCATGCTGCAATTCATGGGGTCACAAAGTGTCGGACACGACTGAGCAACTGAACTGAACTGAATAAAGGGGAGCACAACTGGATACATGAATTTGTTTCCAGTTTTTGTTGTTCGCTTGCTTTTTAAAATCATTTTGTGTCTAATCCCAGGAGCCCAAACTCCTACAAATTGCAACTAGGAATTAGGGAGGTAATTGTTCAAAATAGAGACATACTCAACCCTACCCACTGCTTCTGTTTTAACAGAAAACACCCAAAGGGTGGCAATTACTACAGCTGGGAAAAGGAAAGGAGGTGAAACGGAGATTTAAAAACAGAGAGACTTCCAACAAGCAGTAGAATCATCCTGGGAATTTCGAAGTCTTGCACGCTGATCACTGAGGTCTACCTGAGGTCAGGTCACTACAGTCTAACTTCCTTCTGTGTACTGTTCTTGAAGTATTTCCTACACATAGGACTGAGCAGTGAGGATGGAGGGAGTCATCCTTTGGGGACAGGCACAGTGGAGGATGTATTTTCTGCAGAGCCCATGGTGGACTGCAGAGCCAGGAAAGGGCAGCAAAAGACAGATTCCTGGCAATCCAGTTCCCGCAACAGACATCCAGCTGCTGCCTGCCAGTCCCCAACTTCCGGAGACCTGCTCAGCCCAGTTATTGTCAACCTCTTCCCCTTCCTGGAAAACCAAACTACACCCCCAAGGGTGACCACAGATTGTGACCAATGGTGACAGGAATGCTGCATGCTGTCTAAAATACTTACAACTAGGGTTCATGCTGTAGCCTTTACTATCTTTTTTTTTTTAATTACCTACTTTTTAAGCTTAAGAAGAGTGAAATGTGACCTAATCTTCATTAAAAAGGGAAACATTAACTTCTAGGAAAATCTGCTTATTTCTCTGGCAAGTCACAGAGGCCGTCTAACCGTCTCCAACCGTTAGCTGTAAAATGAGGGGACTGGCCTGCACGAGGCTGAGGCAACTTCTCGCTTCGTGCTGTTTGCTCATAAACTTAAGCTCTGCCCTGATGGTGGGGGCTCCTGGCCTGCAGAACAATCTTCTAGCAGCACGTGGGAAGGAGTGCCTGCTTCCAAAGGCACAGTAGCAAGTTTTTCTCTTACAATCTCTCACCTCTTTAATGCAGGAAGCTCAGACCCCGGCTTTGTGCCAACCTAGAGGGTGGGGTGAGGGTAGGAGGGAAATTCAAGAAGGAGGTGACTTATGTATACCTATGGCTGATTCATGCCATTGTGTGGCAGAGACCAACAAAATGTTGTAAAGCAATTATACTCCAATTAAAAATTTAAAACTTTTTTTTTAAAGAGTATCGTTCGAGGAAAAAAAAAAGTCTCTCACCTGGGTATTCCTGCACATTGCTGCTCACAGTATTCCAAGCCCAAAACCTGGCCCGCCGTTAGCAGGACCTTGAATTTAGTCAGTGCTTCAGCTGCTTAAGCCTCAGTTTCACAAAAACAAAATTGGGGGTGGGGGTCCCTCCTAAATTACATAGGTGACCAGAAGCGAAGACCTCCGGATTCCCCCATTTTGGCTATTTATTAGGTTGATGAACTTAAGGTCATCAGAAGACCTCTAATGCCTATACAAATAGGTCCATTTTTTAAATCTACTCAATATTCTGTGATATCCTTTATGGGAAAGGAATTTGAAAAAGAACAGATATCTCTATATGTATAACTGAATCACTCTGCTACACACCTGAAACTAACACAGCATTATAAACCAACTATGCTGTGAGGCGCTGTGCTAAGTCACTTTAGTTGTGTCAGATTCTTTGTGGCCCTAGGGACTGTAAGCCCACCAGGCTCCTCTGTCCATGGGATTCTCCAGGCAAGAATACTGGAGCAGGTTGCCATGCCCTCCTCCAGGGGATCTTCCCAACCCAGGGATTGAACCCAGGTCTCCCGCATTGCAGGCAGATTTTTTTTAACCATCTGAGCCAGCAGGGAAGCCCCAAGTACATATAAGTCAATCCAAATAAGACAGAGGAGTCTGGTGGACTACAGTCCACAGGATCTCGAAGAACTGGGCACAACTGAAGTAGCTTAGCGTGCACGCATGCACATTTAAATACATATACATACATTCTAAACATTTAACAAGCCATCCGGCTCTCTACTTGGAATAGTAACACCTTTACTGACCCGTAGCAACACAGCAACACCCTTTCACACTAAGAACTATAAAGCCAGGCAAATCCCCAGTTGCAAACAGGTTTCATCGCAGCAAATGTCACTTTAGAAAACAAGGAGTTACCAAACTTCTGAAGAGTAGGTGATCCTGGTGGGGACGTATTTCCACTGGGAGACAGGTAGAGATAGTTTTTGTTTACTCCTGTATTAAAATCAAATGGAGACTCGTAGTCCTCATAAAAATCCATCTCTCTACCGTCCATCGCAGGCGAATGCAGAACGCATGGTCCTACCGCCGCTGCCTCTTCCTGGGTTGAGCGCCACTCTGGATCACTGCACCAGGCAACCCCGAGGAAGAGATCCAGCCCCGGGTTCCAAGAGCCTGGCTTCCTGGGACAGGTGCAGCCGTCACACCCTCAGGACAAGGAGGTTGTTTAATAAGTGACTTCTCCCCAGCAACCCGACGAACAGCTCTGATCACCACCATTGGCTGTTCATTTCAGCCAACAGCCAACAACCCATGCAGGAAGCAGAGCTTTCTAGAGCTTTCTTCAATAAAAAAAGGAGGGCCCAGTGCTGTAGCATCGCCTCCACATACAAACAGTTCAGGCAAACATCAGACACTGGTAGTTATTAATTTTTTTTACAACTTATTATTATTTTTTAAACTGTTCAGCTGACCACAACTGCACCAGGGCAGACTTAATCTTCTAGGACAAGGAAGGATTACCGGCCAGTAATCTCCCACAAAGGCCATCTGGGGGCTACGTTTTTTCCACCCTGGATTACAGGGGTGGCCTGAGAGCCGAGGTTCCTGGTTGAGCGATCAGTTTTCTGTGTGTGTATGTTGGTAGAGAAATAAAGTTCCATTTCCAAGACGACTTTATTTAAAGCAACGTCTGGCTTGAGTGTAACAGAGATGTCAATCTGACTTGTCATTCTCACCTTGCTTTTCCATCCCTTCCCTCCCCTTTGGTTCAAAGATCGTGTTTCCCTGACATGTACTGAGAAGAGAAGAAGCCCCCGCACGTGAAGGGCCCAGCTCCTCCCACCCTCTCCTCATTAACCCAGGCCAGGCCTGCAGGATGGCCACCCTGGTCAGCTTGTAAAACAAGACTTCTCAGTCGCCAGATCCACTCCCCAGCCTTTTTACGGACCCTTTCTGCCCGAACTCTGGCTTTGGCCGAAGTGACATCATGTATCATTCCTTCTGCTTTCACCGTTGTGGCTGAGCTCATGTTAAAGAGGTGAAAAGAAAAGCGACCCTCCCTTAGATCAGTGGTGGTCTGTTACTGCCTGACAAAAAAAGCCCAGGTTAAATAAATAAATAAAAAGGACTTCCCTGTTTGCTCAGTAAAGAACCTGGTGAACACAGGTTCGATCCCTGGTCTGGGAAGATTGCACATGCAGACTAAGCCCACGCACCGCAACTACTGAGCCTGTCTCAAGAGCCTGAGAGTCGCAATTACTGAAGCCCATGCGCCCTGGAGCCTGTGCTCTGCAACAAGAGAAGCCATCGCGATCAGAAGCTCGTGCACTGCAATCAAGAGTAGCCCCCACTCGCTGCAACTAGTGAAAGCCCACTTGCAGCAACGAAGACCCCATGCAACCAAAAATAAATATTTTTTAAAAAGAGCGGGGAACTTCTCTCATGGTTCAGGGGTTTAGAATCCGCCTTCCAATGCAGGAGATGCCAGTTCAATCTCTGGTCAGGAGAACTAGGATCCAACATGCCTTTAGGCAACTAAGCCTGGCCATAATTAGTGAGCCTACCTGCTCCAGGGCCCGTGCACCTCAACAGGAGAAGCCACAACTTAGGCCTGCACATCACAAGGAAGATCTCTCCTGCCCCAGTGAAGACCCAGCACAGCCAGAAACAGAACAAAGCCCATGTTCTACCTTTTCACATCTTTCTCATAAAAAGGGAACACAATATACTCTCCCTAGATTGGAAGCAAGTAGGAAACTTTTTATTTTAAGCACTAAAAAAAAAAAATCTGAGTGTGTATAAAATTATATAAACACCAAGACAGTTCACATTCATCTTATGATTCATCTTCTATTTTTTTTTCTATTAGTCTCCTGTTGTACTCTATTTTTGGTAAATTCATCTTATTTTAGTTTTTTAAATTTATTTTTAACAATAAAAAAAGATCAATCTGTACTTTTCTCCTAAAAGATACCAAAATTGGGGTAATGATAAATGCTGTTTATTCTATATTTAGAAATAAATGGCTTCTTTTTATTAATTGAAAAAAATGAATTGGTCAATTTCTTGAAATCCATGGTATCTCTCACTGAGGTAGCACAGGTATTATGGTAACATTCTTAGACAAGAAATGGTTATTGGGGTCCCCGGCCCTCTCAATACTCTACATTTGGTCACCAAATCACTGGTAAAAAAAAACAAGTTCTCCATTCTCATTCTTCCTGCTAGTCACAAGTGTCAAAAAATGCTATGGGCTGAAATTTGTGTCTCTTCAAAACTCATATGTTGAATTCCTAACCCCTAGTGTGATGGTATTTGGAGGTGAATTAGGTTTAGATGAAGTTATGGGGTGGGGCTCAGGCTGGGATCTGTGTCCTCATAAGAAGAGGAAGCCCCTTCATGGATCACAGCCTTGTTGTGGCGAAGGGGCTTGCATAACTCAATGAAATTCTTGCCACGAGAACACCATGAACAGCATAAAAAGACAAAAAGAAAGGACACCGAAAGAGCCCTCCAGGCTGGAAGGTGTCCAGTATGCTACTGGGGAAGAGCGGGGAGAATTACTAACAGCTCCAGAAAGAATGAAGTGGAAACGACACTCAGTTGTGGGTGTGTCTGGTGGTGAAAGTGAAAGCCCATGCTTTAAGAACAATATTGCATAGGAGCCTGGAACGTTAGGTCCACGAATCAAGGTAAGCTGGATGTGGTCAAGCAGGAGATGGCAAGAAGAAACATCAACATCTTAAGGAATCAGTGAACTAAAATGGATGGGAATGAGTGAATTTAATTTAGATGACCATTACGTCTTCTACTGGAGGCAAGAATCCCATAGAAGAAACGGAGCAGCCCTCATAATCAATAAAAGAGCTACAGTCTTTCCAGTAGTCATGTATGGATGTGAGAGTTGGACTATAAAGAAAGCTGGGCACTAAAGAACTGATGCCTTCAAACTGTAGTGCTTGAGAGTCTCTTAGACTGCAGGGAGATCAAACCAGTCAATCCTAAAGGAAATCAATCCTGAATATTCATTGGAAGGGCTGAGACTGAAGCTGAAGCTCCAATACTTTGGCCACCTGATGCGAAGAACTGACTCACTGGAAAAGAATGATGCTAGGAAAGATTGAGGGCAAGAGGAGAAGGGGGTGACAGAGGATGAGATGGCTAGATGGCATCACCAACTCAGTGTACATGTACACTACTTCGGGAGATAGTGAGCGACAGGGAGGGTTGGTGTGCGGCAGTCCATGGGGTCGCAGAGTCAGACACGACTTAGCAAGTAAACAACAGCAGGAAGAGTGCTAGCTCAAGCTCTCCTTCCACCATGTGAGGACACAAGACAGCCATGTGCCAACAAGAGAAGGACTCTCACAGGGATTAAAGCAACCCACACCTTGATCTTGAACTTCCCAGACTCCAGAACCAAGAGAAACAAATGCCTTTCGTTAGAGGCCTCCCCTTCTGTGGTAACTTATGATAGCAGCCAGAACTAAGACAAATATACTAACAATGATGTACATAATGATGCAGGTCACAGCCACCTCCGAGGTCCTCAGATCCTCAAAATTTCCATGTTCTTGACCTCTGGTGTCGACTCCCATGCTACATCCTCTGCCTGAAATGCCTTTTTTCTGCTTGCTGAACTCATTCATCTTTCAAGACTCGGGCAGAAACACTACCTCTTCTCAGAAACCCTCCCTCCCTGGCTCTCCCTTCCGGCAACAGCACACAGGATGTGACGTGCCCACCTGGCAGTCCTGCCAGCCTTGCCTCCAGAGCAGGGGCTGCAGTTTCTAGTGCATTGCCAAATATGCTATACAAGATGGAAAAAATAAACCATACAAATGCTTATCAAGGGGGGATTATTTAAATGCTAAATAGAATATTCATGCAACAAGAAAGTATGCAAACATGATGATGTAGAAATGTATATATTTTATAGGGAAAGATATTCTTTTTCAAAATATTTATTTATTTGGCTGTGTCGGGTCTTAGCTGCAGCTCGTGGGATCTTCACTGCCTCCTGCGGGACCTTTCGGTGAAGCACGTGGGCTCTCTAGCTGTACCACCCACGTGCCTCCAGAGCGCACAGGCTCAGCAGCTGCTGTACATGGGTTCGGTTGCTCTGTAACAGGTGGAATCTTAATTCCCCAACCAGGGATCGAAGCTGCAGCCCTGCATTGCAAGGTGGATTCTTAATCACTGGACCACCTGGAAAGATATTCTTGATACATTCAGTAAACATTCCAAAACTGTTTGCACTACATGATCCATAATTGTGTGATAACTGGAGAAACTAACCAACCCAAAGGGAACATAGGCAGGAGAAATCCCAGGAAAGTGTCAATGTGCTGCAAGACCAGCAGAGGGCACCCATAGGCAGCTCAGAAGTTAACTGGCCGGCCAGTGAAGTGCATACTAACTACACAGGAACAATCACTGGATGACTCACGTTAGTGGAAATGGAATGAATACAAATATCTGTAAAGAATAGTAAGTTTCTACCTACCTGTTAGTACATCATTTATATATGTCTGTGTAGGTCCTCCCTAATTTTGAAGGAGTTAAATGTAAAATCTCTATGTGCCTAGTCACTCAGTAGTGTCCGGCTCTGCAACCCCATGGACTGTAGCCCACCAGGTTCCTCTATCCATGAGATTCTCCAGACAAGAGTACTGGAGTGGGTTGCCATTTAATCCTCCAGGGGGAAAAAAACATCTACGTAATACATACAAAAATATTACTGGAGGGGCCTTGAAGGGCACACAGACAGACGATGTGACTGCCCAACAGAAGCGGCAGGTCACAGATACCAGACCCTGTGGACATGTCACGAGAACACAGCAACCAGCTGGTCAAATATAGGACAATTTGATTACCAACATAATTAAGGACAGCAGTGGATTATAAACCATTATAAATAGGAATCTGAGAGTCTGTATCTGGTGGTTAATTGTATGTGTCAATCTGAGTCATGAGTTGCCCAGATAGTTGATTAAACATTGTGTACCGCTGCATCTCTGACGGTGTTTGTGGACAAGATTAACACTAATCAGC